CTTATAATGTCTGCCCCTTTTATCCCCAGATTATATTCAAACAAAACATAATTTACAAAACAATACAAAAAAATAAAAACAACAATTCATATAGCTTCACATTTTACTTTTCCATATACCTTCAACAAACTAGTTTTCATCTGTCTTAAACGTATACATAATACTAAATAAAAACAACAATTCATATAAATTCACATTATACTTTTCCATATACCTTCATAATACTAGCTTTTATTTGTCTCTTAAATATAAGTTTTACTCATTTTAGTGTTTTTTAGCGACTGTGATAAATTTATACAGTAAATATGAAGATTTTTGAATCATTTTATCATAAAAACAATACAAAATGTCCTCCCTGTTTACAACAATCAACATATTCATTTACTCAGTTCAGTTTATTAAAAAAGAGTTAAAATCAGCTGTTTGAAGGTCTCTGATCTTGCTGCAGCGTCACAGCTTGAATTTTCTCTAATAAAACTGCTCAGATGTGTGATTAACTCCTCACTTCATGCAGATAAATTAGATTTATTCTTCCTCTCTGCATGTTTTGGCTCAGTTAATCCTGTATTATTGGGTTTTAGATGCTGTCAGAACGGCCTGGTCTTTGTCTGGACCGTTCCTCAGGAAATCTCCAGCTTCCCAGAATCCCGTCTGTGTGACTCAGATGAAGTGTGGAAAAGTGAAACCAAGCCCCAGTCGTTGGTAAATCAGTTGTTTTCACTTCAGCAGAAAACAGAACTGAAGATTAGTTTCATGTTATTAATATTATCGTTGATTAGATTCAGGTGTTTTCTTGTGAAACACAGTGAAAGTGTGAAATGTTTGCTGTAAACGTGCGGCGTCTCGTTGCAGTCTTCCCGCTGGTTTGAGGGCGGAGCCACGTGTGTCTTCCAGCTGAAGGGTCACATCACTCCGGTGAGAACGCTGGCCTTCAGCCCTGACGGTCTGACKCTGGCCTCAGGAGGGGTGGGGGGTCTGATGAACATCTGGTCTCTGCGGGTAAGACTCCCAGCTGGACGAGGACAGTCCTCCAGACCGATGGAGTTCCTGATGTTTGTGTCCCGCTCCTGCAGGACGGCTCCATCCTGCAGACCGTGGTGGCCGGCTCGGGGGCCATCCAGAAAATCGTCTGGATTCCAGATGTGGGCGTGGCCGTCTGCTCCAACAGGTCCAAGGTGAAGACAGCTCCAGCTTCCTTTACAGAGTCTTCATGCCGTCTTCAGGGCCTTCATCTGCTCTCTGTGTCTCCGTCTCCAGGACGTTCTGGTTGTCAACTGCAACAAGGAGTTTGTGGCGTCCAATCATGTGCTGGCCACCTGCCGCACAGCGCTGAAGAAGCAGGGCGTGGTCGGCCTCAACATGGCGCCCTGCATGAGAGCCTTCCTGGAGAGGCTGCCGCTGATGCTGCAGGAGCAGTACGCCTACGAGAAGGTACCGAATCAGAAAACCCTGATTTTTAACAAACAACCAAAGAATTATAAGAAACKAAACAAGACGTGTGAGATCCAGGTGTTTGGAGGATGTGTTGGTGTTGGTGGCAGTTTGTAGTGACGTCATTCAGAACCTGCCTCTGTCTGCGTTCTTCTCTCCAGCTTWATGAAGTCTCATTTTGTTGCAGCAGCTCCCTCTGGTGGTCAGGATCAGTTACAGCAGCAGAACAGTTTAATTAAACAGGACCATAGAAGGACAAAGAAGTGAACCTGTTTTATTTGGATCTTTAGGTTTTTGTTTCCAGCAGCTTGTAAAGAATAAACAGTTTGTTCCTGTTGATTTAGCTGAATTTATTAAAAACACAACAGGTAAGGTGGATTCTGGGACAGTTCAGCACTTTGGAAGGAAAATCTAAAGAATGAGATCAGATCAGGTATGTTGTCTGTAGCAGCTGTGAGCAGAAAAAGAAGAAATGCAAACTGTTCCCTTAATACAGGTGTAATAAACCCAACAGGTAGAATAAACTCATCCTCCTGTGTTTAATCCAGATTAAATTCTCTCCTCCAGCCTCACGTTGTCTGTGGGGAGCAGCTGGTCCACAGCCCCTACATGCAGTGCCTCGCCTCGCTGGCGGTGGGGCTTCACCTGGACCAGCTCCTATGCCGGCCCCCCGTGCCCCCTCACCTGCGTCACTGTCCGCCGGAGTCCGGCACGGCCGTCTGGAGCGCCAGCGAGTGGGCGTGGCTGGACTGCTTCTCCGTCACAGTGAAGGCGGCCGAGGCGCTCGCTCAGGGATCCACCTTCCCCGAGTCCTTCAGCGTGCCGGACCTGGAGCCGGTACCTAAAGAGGACGTGACTCTGGTGGTGATGGTGAGGAGATCTGCTGACTCAGCAGGTTGTCATGGCTGCAGCTCCTAACGCTCTCTGTGTTCCCAGGATAACAGCAAATGGGCTCCAGGGATGGATGAGCAGATCATGTCCTGGGCCACCTCCAGACCTGAGGTAGACCGTCACCTGGTCCTGTGTTCTCCTGCACAGATCACCTGTTGCTCACCTGTTCACTCTGGTTCCAGGACTGGCACCTGGGGGGGAAGTGTGACGTTTTCCTGTGGGGCGCAGGACGACACGGTCAGCTGGCCGAGGCCGGCAGGAACATCCTGGTGCCCACCACGGCCCCATCCTTCTCCCAGGCTCAGCAGGTAAACAAGTACGGGATAAATCTTGTGCCAACAGGAACTGAATCTGAATGTGTTGATTTGAAAATGAATTTTACTAAATTGATTGAAACTGAATTTGAGTTAATTTACTTTGAAACTGTACTTTGGTTTATTAAAAATTCAGTTTGACTACTTTCACTTTCAGTTCCATAA